CGAGAAAGGGACGAGATGTTGTCCGCTTTTTTATTAATGGGCAGAATTGAATTGTTTTTTTACAACAATAATTACGCAAACCAAGTGGTATCAGTTTACGTCCTTTGATATTGTAAAAATAATTCCTTTGCAAAGTTTGAGTTTAAAGTTTTTTGTCAGAGTTATGGCCCTTAAATAATTTTTTATTTTTAAAGTATGTCCGGACTACTTCTCTTATACCACTAATGCAATTTCAATGAAACTTTACAGGATTGATCTGTAGCTCAAGTCCTTGCGCATATTGCACGGGTTTTCCGGTTGAATGATTTTTGACCGAGTTTATGGCCCTTTTATAAAAAAGATGTTTTTTTCTGTGTGTTGCCAGATACACAAAAGCTTGTCCGGACTACTCCTCAAAACTATAGTGCAATTTCATCAAAACTTTACAGGAATGATCAGTACCAAGTCTAGTTGTGCATATTGTCAGCATTTTTCGGTTCAATGATTTTTGATAGAGTTATGGCCCTTTAATAATTTTTATTTTTAAAGTTTGTCCGGACTACTTCTCTTATACCACTAATGCAATTTCAATGAAACTTTACAGGATTGATTTGTAGCTCAAGTCCTTGCGCATATTGCACGGGTTTTCCGGTTGAATGATTTTTGGCCGAGTTATGGCCTTTGATAAAAGGTGTTTTTTTCTATGTGTTGCCAGATACACAAAAGCTTGTCTGGACTACTCATCATAAACTACTGGTGCAATTTTATCCAAACTTTACAGGAATGATCAGTACCAAGTCTAGTTGTGCACTGTTTGTCTGTCTGTCCGTGTGTCACAAAACTTGTGACATAACATTACAACATAAAATTGGCCATCATGAGGCGACACATGTGATTACTGATCGCTCTTGTGTTATATTTGCTCAAGATGCAAAAGTTATCAAGGCGATAGATGAATAGAAGAAACAGGTTTAATGACACACAGGAAACGTATTTTCAATCAGACGGAGTCCATCAATTAAAACATTTCACTTATGAATATAAACGAATAAATTTTACGTATATTTCACAGGGTGAAAAAACATAATTAAATTTTTAGCATTTTGGGTTCATAAGCAGTTTGAAAATATATTTTGCTAAAACGGCATAGTTTCATTCAAGTTTTAACATTTCGAAAGAATACGGGCTTGATATTTGCATGTGATTAGGTGATGATTGCATCAATGGAATTGTGACTGTAATCTGTTTTTGGAAACGGATAACAATTTAATAAAATTTTATTTTTTAATACGATAAAACCGCAGGAAAACCCAACCGTAGATAAAAGGCTGAAAAAAATTAAAAAATCTGATACGAGATTGAATTTTAATTGAATTTCTAAAATAAATTTCCCGGAAAAAAACCATAACTAATGTCGTAGTTAAATGTACGAGCTATGGGTTGCTTAAATGATGAATGTACAATGTATACAAATGTGTTTGCAAGGGGCTTTTTGGCATAATTTTGGTCGTCAATTCACAATACCGACTAGGATGACTTTCAATTCTAACTTACTTTGTATATCACAGCAAATCCTTCCCTATCTGATAGATTGCTTGTTCCCAGATCACTAACATAACATTAGTATTGACACAACGCCCAGTTGTTTATAGTATTGTGACATTTAAAGGTAATGAAAATGTTGCGAAACGTAAACAAATTTATACAATAACAAATTATGATAGCAGGACTATGTTAGGACTCTTCTGCATGTCCGCTCTAAACCAAGGGATCATAGGTTAGAGCCTTAATCGGGACACGACAATGTTTCTTCATATGACACCAGTACTGGTTAGTTCCGGCCAGCAGACTTGATAGTGATTAATACAAGTTTCAAGAACTTTATTCCGAAAAATCGAGCTTAAATAAATATGTTTAAAGGACTCTTCTGTACAAAAATCATTCTCTGTTTCATTGATTAAAACACTGTTATATTATATTTTTTCCATCGAAGAAGCATGATTGCACAATTTCATTCCAAATATATTACTTTTTAGTTCAAGTTGACCTATCATATGAAGTTACCCATTATGGAATTATAGAAAATTGTCTAAAACAATACTATATAAAATTTAGAAATTCTTTTATCCATCGTTATCCTAGGTAAAATGATGTATGAAACATCTTTTTCTAATGAATGTATTTGGTATACCATGTTAATGTATACGCGAAAATGCTTAGCAAATTTTAGATGCACTGGCCACGACTTAAAAAACAGGAATACTCTTAAACATTGACAGATAATTTGCTTTTGCTCATTTTTTTCGTATATTGTTTGAAAATGAAGTGCAGTTGTTCATTGTACAACGACCTGAAATTTATAATACATGTAATAACTGGAACGTTATTGTAAACAGCAATGAAACGCTTTAATGCTATCAGAAATATTGAGAGACATTATCTATGAAGTACAAATGAAAATAATTTAAGGAAATAATGAAGGATAATAAAGGCAAATAATTTTTGATATGTTTAAAGAGCATGAGATGTTATTGTGAGCTAAACGTACAAATGATATTAAGACTTTTAGCCGCTCTCTCATCTAAAACGAGATTCAATAGATCAAAAATTAGATATGAAAATTTGATCTTTTTGAAGATTAATGATCATGTAAACAGGATGTTTAAAAAGCGATGCCCGCCGTATTAACACATCTGCAGATATTTATAAATTTAAAATTTCATCATTTTCGTATTTAAATGTTGAATTCTGCTTAAGCCGGTGCTAAGGGGCGGTGACTGTAACTTGCAATTTCCATTACCGTCCATGAACAGACTCAATCAAAGCGAGCCTGCAACATTTTACAATTTTGCCATGTTGGGCTTTCTTAAGGGAATCTGTTTTTTCTCTGTTTCATTGCCACATCCGTGTTATTTGTGCCGTGCCGCGGCTGTAAAGGTTTCCCCGTACATTTAATCAATGATGTTATATTTTCTACCCTTGAAGATCGTTCAACACGACATTATTGTAGTGTATACATTGTAGGTGGTATTTTTAGTTTCTTGTATTTGGCCTTTTTCAACTTGGGTGGTTCCAGCATTCCTACTTGAATACAGTACATGTATAATCACTCTTAGGATATGTTGCCTGTTTTCTTAATCTGTCTTTTGACGTCTTGTCTGTGATATGCAGGCTTCATAACTTCAGATCCCCTTTCAAAATTCCATTTTATATAGTTCCGCCCATTGTTTTCTCGTTTAGGTCACATGCATTCTTTTACTTGGGGATCATACGCCGCTTTTCATGGAATGACTCTATTGTGTCACATTGAAGGTTCCATGATGACTGCCGTACGAACACATTTGTGGATATTTTCTAAATTCAAAACTTCACCATTTTCGTGTTTAAATGTTGAATTCTGCTTAAGCCGGTGCTAGGGGGTGTGGACGGTAACTTGCAATTTCAAGTACCGTCCATGAACAGGCTCAATCAAAGCGAGCCTGCAACATTTTGCAATTTTGCAATGTTGGGCTTTCTTAAGGGGTTTCTGTTTTTTTTTCTATTTCACTTCAAAACTTTTTCCAGGCTTAATAACTAACATGGACTTGTCGATGTTCCAATAAATCTTTTTCGAAGTTAATTTTTTTCAAAGAATTATCCAGACTTAATAGTGAATAGTGCAGATCACGATCTGACGGCGCTGGTCAAATAGATATAATATATAAAAACACTTAAGAACGCCAAAAACGGCAAAATTGAAAATGTTGCAAGGTCAAATAGACAGAATATATAAAAAAAAACTTATCCCTTAAGAACGCCGAAAACGGCAAAATTGAAAATGTTGAAAGGTCAAATAGACAGAATATATAAAAAAAAACTTATCCCTTAAGAACGCCGAAAACGGCAAAATTGAAAATGTTGAAAGGTCAAATCGACAGAATATATAAAAACACTTATCCCTTAAGAACGCCGAAAACGGCAAAATTGAAAATGTTGCAAGGTCAAAAAGACAGAATATATAAAAACATTTATCCCTTAAGAACGCCCAAAACGGCAAAATTGAAAATGTTGCAAGGTCAAATAGACAGAATATATAAAAACACTTATCCCTTAAGAACGCCGAAAACGGCAAAATTGAAAATGTTGAAAGATCAAATCGACAGAATATATAAAAACACTTATCCCTTAAGAACGACGAAAACGGCAAAATTGAAAATGTTGCAAGGTCAACTAGACAGAATATATAAAAACACTTATCCCTTAAGAACGCCGAAAACGGCAAAATTGAAGAGGTTGCAAGATCAATGTTTACAAAACACTAACCACGGTCATACCCATTCTGTCATGACCAATAAAGTAACAATAATTATAGTATGTTTTTCGCAAATTGATCGATAAGAATAATACATTTAGTTGGAAATATCATTAGGCAAACTTCAGGGACCTTTCCATTTTCTATTCTACACAATGCTCCCTTTCAGATTTAAAACACATTCATCATATAAGTCTTTAATCTAAGTCTTGCTCTGATGTATCTTTTTTGATTTCGTACATCTTGCCTCTAATCTGTCACTGAAACAGTTCATGCTGATCATAATTCTAAAACTTTCGATAGTTCATAGCTACTTTTTTGCGTTAAAATCTGAAATCGGGAAAAAATGTTCAAATCATTTGACATTCAGTAATGAAATAAAAACAATATACGCATACTGTTAAGATTCTAACACAGGTGGTAACAAAATCGTAAGCAGTAAATAAAGTTATCTTAAAATAAGAAGGTTTTACAAAAGAAAATACATATAAATGTGCGCTGATGTCTGTTATAAAACTATATTTTGTACAGTAGATAAAAAAGCTTATACATTTTTCGAGAATGTCCTTACCTTCTGGGCGGCAAAGAACTAGGATTGCTTTCTCAGATTCTTTTATTAAGGCAACTGCTTCGTGGTGAGATGCCTTAGTTACATCTTCGTTGTTTATCTATTAAAATAATTATCAAAAGATGAAAAATAAGTAACATCAGTCAGAAATATTATAAAAAAATAATTAATATTTCGCAATATGTCGAACATTTTTGAAAGTCCTGTGAAGTGGTGTTCATTCAGAAAGAGGCAAACTAGCAAATTTGAGATATTTCTATGAAAAATCATTCGAAGCATTTTCCGGTTATAAAAATCTCATTCTGTAAGTTTCTGAAAATAATTAAATTGTTTTATCTAATAGTATCTAGGTTATGTAAAGATATCGCTTGTTTGTATTAAATGTTATCTTTGAAATATGCGATAGGATTGTCCCTCTTTGTTTTTAATTATTTCTTTTTTCCCTTTTTTTGTTATGCATACATATCTTACTTTGAAATTCTATCACTGAAATTACTTTTCCACCTCCAAGTATCAGTTTGCAGCACAGTCTGATTTTTATTCAAAGAATCATCTGGTACGGAAAAACACGAAATGCAAAGTATTAATAGTTATAAACTCCTAACATTCGTTCATATTTAACCTTTTGTCCTTTATTATGTAAGATAGGTCTCGCTATGGGAAAGTTATAAGATTAAATCCAAGGAAGAGCGATACGAGACAGAACGTTTAACCGTTATGGGAATACTTTACCCGACAACATCACAGCACACAGGACTACCAAAAGGTACCCATTTGGGAACCGGAAAGAGTTACGGGGCTTTTCTAAAGGGTCCAGGATCTTGACAACATGGTTTTCATTTAAATATTTAAAAAAATATATATGAGTACTGAGGAGGCTTCGTCTTATAAGTTACGCGCTATTTTCAAAGTGAATCAGATGTCAAAATATCCATTCTAAAAAGAAGCCAATAAAAACAGTATAACATTCTTATTATCGTCAAGAATGCTCAATTTTCTCGTTGATTTATGAGTTCTTTCGCTTTATGATCTTATCTTAATACAATCTTTTACTTGATAATAACTACAATTATTTACTATACAACTGTTAAAAACCATTACGGTAATATCACCATTCTTTGAAAACTTGAGTTATAGTAAAAAAAGGTTTTGCAAAGTTTGGCTTTTTTTATTCCATTTAAATTAATATATTTTTTTTAATTATTTACGCACTTACCGAAATGATCTTATCTCCATGCAGTATCTTGTTAGAATTTGCAGCTGGTGTACCAGGTAAAATTTTACCTACAAAAAGCGGTTGATATTCATCACCTCCTTGTATTCTAAAACCAAGTACTCCAGAAGCTTTCTCTAGGATAACCGTTCTGAAATACATAAAAAATAAACAAGTTATCCATTAAACAGATTTTGTTTTGTTGCACTTAAAATCGGCAAATCTCTGTCTCCATTGACAAGATAACGGCAGTAACAAACATGTGACAAATATTTTATTAGACAATGTGAACATTTTGTTTGAAAATAAATCATACTGATATTTCCATTACGATACAAGCTTAACATAAATATGACTTAGATACTTTAACTCAGTGAAACAAACGACTAGTATCTAATTTTAATCAGCTGTGAAGTAGCCAATGACGTATAATAGGTCGCTCACATGACCTGCGCTTAAGACTGTACAATTTGTGGGCAATTAAATCTAATAATATTTTCAATTCATATTCTCAACAGTTTTTAAGAAGACAAAAAGAGACAAAGACACATACCTTGGGTTCCTGATACCCTAAAATAGATAAAGAAGAACTCAAAGTCAGTTCAAAATTTAAAAGAAGAGATCACATTCACTCCAAAGTTCTATGCCAATATTTCACAATTGTTTGAATTATTGTATAAGTATCTTTTTTTGTATAGTACCTTTACATTTAGTGTACAGTTACGAGCTATGTTTATCAATCTGATTAAAACCAGCTCCCAAAACGTACACTGTAGAAAAAGTATATCTGAATTTTACTTAGATTGCATTTTGTCAAGCTGTCATCATGTATCCATTTATGAAATAAATTTGACTTTCTAAAACCGCCAATAGGGGACTTAAATAATAATATAATCAATATTTTGTAAAATGCATGCTCACATATTTGTCCAGTTCATCATCTGAAAAACATAACGTATCTATTTATAAAATGAAACAAAATGAAATTTATGACAATATGAAGACATACTTAGAAATGCTTTGTCAATTATTTCCGAATAACGAGCGCTTAATGCGAAATGGTATTTGCGTGTCATTTAAATAATAAATAGGAATAATTTTGTGCAATTTAATCATTTTTCTTACCTAGACCTCTTTGAAATAAGTCACGTCCCTTGCATTTTTCAACTTCTTGTTCAATGTTTTCATTTTTCAGAAACCTATATTTTGTCCCAATAGTCCTTTTGCCAATTTCTATTAAGTCTTCTTCTATTTCCTTTAATCTCTTTCTTAAACATAAGGCCGTGACAAAGTTACCGGTTGGTTCATTTTTCTCTATGTCGGCCTTAGTTTTCATTGATGATAACTCATCTGTTATATTAGATACTTCTACCTTTAGCTTCCCTAATGCACTCAAGGTATCAGTTTTTATAAAACTGGCCTGTTTGCATGCATCAAATATGAGTTTGTCTATTTTTTCCAGTATCTCTTGCTTAAATCGCTCAGCATCACAAGTGAATTTTACATGTGTAGCTTTCATTTTGTCAATATTTCTATGTATTTCTTTCTCGTATTCTTTAATTTCGTTGCTGCAATTTTCTATTTCTTTAACAACCTCTTCTATATACTCATTTTCGTTCTGTCCCCTTGTCACATCTGATATATACAAAACTTCACATGTTTTATGCTCGTGTATTATGCATTCTCCGCAACCAACTATTTCGTGAGCTTCACAGTAGAAGTTTATTTTCTCTTCAACATGCTTTGGACATTTGTCTATCAATCCTACTGGCTTTATTTTTAAAGCAGATGGTGAACCACTATATGCATAGAGAAACACGTGGTTTCTGCAATGTTTGCCCTTCCGGTGATGTTGAAAACATTTACTGCACATATTCTCTTCACATTCTTTACAACATCCGTCAGCAGTAATGTCGTCTCCATCTTCTGCACACGGTTCACAAACAACACGTCCTTTTCGTCCAGATACTTCCATTTTAGTAGTTAAATTCTCAATGCTATAACGAAACTATAAATACTGTATTTAAAGCTTAAACACATACAACGCTTTACAAGTAAATAATTGAAATATCGATCGATAAATAGTGTACAGGTTAAGGCCTAGGTATTTATATAGACTTTATACAAACTATATTTATCATACTGTAAAGAGTTTCACCTATATTACCCTGGATTAAAACTACGGCGCCTCAACAGTGACAAAACTTTTTTGCACAATCACAACAAGAAAAAATATGGCAAACAAATATCCTTTAAATTGGACTAAATAAGGTATTAATACAGGTTCTAACACGACCCGCATTTTCCCTATTGAACATAGAAGAACCGAATGCTATATAGTCACTGTTTGACGTTCTATATTTAGACATGTGACGTAATCATTATACAAGTGACGTAACCACGCGCTGACAATAAGTACGGAAACAAATCAGGCGCAATTTTGCTTAATGTCAGGTACGGCAGCATTAATTTGTTGATGTCGTGTTAGAATCGAAATAATATATCCAAATCGGTTATTTTATCGCTGGATAACATCACTGTTTGTCGTTCGGATGCGCATTATTATATCACTCGGGCTACGTCCTCGTGATATAATTCCTCGCATCCGAACTCCAAACAGTGATGTTATTAAGCGATTAAATCACAGTTTGGGATATATTATTTCTTATTTTAATACACCTTTCTTTCGTGCATTCACATCGACGTATTTTAAACTCGAGCCCAAAGGCCGACTTATTTAATAAGTCAGATTTGTTTTTTATAATATAACTATCGCGTCCGTCATGGAATTAAGCTTTTTACATTGTGCCCTGAGTCACGCATATTAAAAACAGTGTAACAGCGGCGTATAGTCACAAGACTATATCTATTCCTGCATGTTTTCTTCTACGTTAATTAATACCTGAGAACCCTCAAATATTTTCATTTTAATAGGTAAGAGTACAATTTCCCGAGAGCAATTGAGGATAGGAAAGTAAGAATATCAAATGGAAAAACCTTTTTTCTGAAGTCCATTACGAGTGAGAAGTTTTTATTAGAGGTTTATACTTGTGCTGATATGTAGTTCATATTTCTAATAAATCAGGAGTGAATACATTTGAATCCTACCAAGAAAGTTGCATTTCTCAATGAGTTATTTTAAAGCTTTCAAGTCTGCCTTACTTTTTCTTAAAAACAGGTCAGACATTTCATTAGTTTATGCGAATTTATATAAATTCGATTGTGCTGAAAACTAGCTTATATAACAATCTTTAACCCCTTCCTCGAACCAACCAGTACTATGCAGGATATGTATATTTTTACGTTAACAACGGCATGCCAGTGACGGGAAATGAACACACGTGACCAACAATCATTAGAGCGTTCACCACTCGACCACACAGTCACGCATTTTACTAATATCACCATGGCATAGAACTTCTCCATCCGGTTAAATAATGAAGCATCATGTAAAAATCTACAAGAAAATTACCAACATCAATTGAAATTATTTAACAGCAACTGACAGAATATTTTTTCTAATATAAGGAAATATCGCGAAAATATTTATTTTATTTTTTATTATTATGTACATGTATATAAAATATTTTAAGATTTTGTATAATATGTGTCTTATCGATATCAACGATAAATATCAGATCAAATTCAATCATTTATATAATTACAACTTTTTTTAATTGTGCAAAATCATTTCAATTTTACCAAGGTTTGATATTCTGATGGTTACCATAGTCGACAAAATTTTTCACACGACTTGAAATACGGACGCATTAATTATCATGTTAAGGATATATTTTACTATCAAATTTACATATAATAAATATTTTTGTTTACTTTTTGTTAGTTGTACGGTTTAAAAAAAACATCGCAGATCTTACCACATCATTTAGAATTTTAGACTTTTCTTGAAATCAATAATTTGTTGTAATTTTATATAAAAATGCATAAACGTCTACCATGATTGTAGTTAATATCTAAAATTGGGATATTCGTAAAGGCGTTAAACTGAAGTAATGGCGCTATTTGGTTTTCGTAGTACAGTATGTCGATCCGTCTTAATGTGGAATGTATTATTTAAATATTTATATAGACCATATTTCAAAATCCATATCGATCGGATTACTTTATAATACAGTTGTTTACGCAAAGACAGTTTTATGGGATTTAACTTTACTTGTGTAATAGGACCGTATTTTGATAAAATATTTAGTTGTCAAATCTATACCATTCATTTGTCGTCCATTTTGGCTTCTTTCCCTAACGTTAATCTGTTAAAGTCCTCTTGATTGGCTCTTTCGGTTTAGATTTACATTTTTATTGGTCCACTTGATTAAAATAATTCGATTAGTTCAGAACTTGTTATGAGTAATTTTGACCAATCAATCTTATAGTTAAGCATTGTCATGACTACCAAAAGTGTATAAATACCGGGTGAATTTCTATATATCTTGTCTTGGGAGCTGGCCGACAGGTCAGTTCACTTCAAAGCTTTAGAGCTTTGGCACTCTTTCAAAACTTAATAGTTTTGACTCTCTTTGAAATCTATATGATTTGAGAATTTAGGCAAAACTTATTAATAAATACTTAGGAATTCTTTTTAAATAAATAACTAGTTGTTGGTAGATTCTGCTTAAATATATAGTCTTATTCATACTTTTGGTAAATAAATTATACGATTGTCGTTTAAATAAGTATATGATTATCGTTTGAATGAATCTCGTAATGTTTAAATTTATAAAATCTTGTGTTTTACTTTCTTAATAAGAGTAAATTAAAGGTAGCGTCCTACACCACCATCCTAGCCACTGGTTGGCAATTAAGAGTTCAGAGAACCTGGGTAAAGTGCCGTTTAAAGAGATATTTGTGATCACGTGTCGTCCGCATAGTAATTAGGCCATTTATATTTTAAGTCTGTCAAGAGCGCCACTGAGTGTTGGGCTCAAATCAGCTTGAACCACTGATAATAAACCGGCACTATTACATTGGTGCCTGACCATTGGATTTTTAATTGTCTATAACGCACCACTATTACATTGGTGCCGTGACCACTGAACTTTTCAATTGTTTGTAAATCAACTATTAATTTTTGCTGTAACAGCTGAATTTTTGATTTTTGTATAACGTAGAGCTTTTTATATTGAGATTTGTTTTTGGCGTACGTCTAGTATTTTATTTAATTTTTTGCTGTTTTTGTAACGGCATAGGGAATTTACATAGAGCTATGTAAAGTTTGGTTATATTTTAAAAATACAGTACTTATTCGGATTCATATATATAAAATACTCATTTTTCTAGTGTATTACGTTAGTATATCGTCTGCTAAATTCTACTTTACGCACGATAAGTCGTGTGGTATTTTTCACGTAACGGTTAATCGAGTAAATATTTCTAGGTGTATAGCGCGAGGTGTGTATATGCGTTTAAACCGGTTATAGGTTGGTGGTGTATAAAATAATGTATTGATTATAAACATAAATAAAATTGGAAATATAAAGTAAAGTAAATGTGAATTTAGGTGGACGCTCCTGTAAATAGGATATTAGATAAATTAAAATAGAAACATTTAAGGGTTTACTATAAAATTTAAAAACAAAAGTAAATTTAATTCTATAGGATTAATTATAAAATATAAACATATAGTTATACTAAAAGTTGTCAAAACTTTATCCAAGACCACTTGTAAAAATATTGTGTTAAAAAAAAAAAAAAAAAAAAAAAAAAAGCTCTAAGTAAGAGTATCATAAAGGTCTGTTTGTTGTTAAAGTTTAACTATTTAAATTGTATGAACAATAATATAACAAATTTTGAATTAAATGTGATTTAACTTTAAATTACGTCTTTCTATGGTTAAAAGTTGAAGTACAACTAAGATATAAAATCATTTTGTTTTACTTATAAGTGTTATCATTTAAGTATGGCTGAGGGAAATTTACCGATATATAATTCAGAAAGTAGATATGGTCAGTACCGTGTGATAGATACTTCGGGGTTCGATGCTCAGAATACGTCACGCACGAGAACTTTAACATTAAACACGCCTACATGTATTCCCGATATAAGTCTTTTCATGAAACGGAAGGACAAGTTAACACGCATTCTTCGCCTAGGTATAGGGAAATTTTCCATAATACTTCTTATAGGTCTGATTCATTTCTTGGTTCCCCTACTTTTAGACAAGAGTTTAGTACTCCGAAAGTAAGATTTAGTTCACACTCCCTACTGTTCGGGGTGATACAAATGAAGGATTATTACGTATTGGTGATAGTCATCGCTTACCTTGTATACAGGAAGTGCTCGAGATGACTTAGATACGTCTATCCCGGGGGTTAAAAAGGACTGATTTTGATAAAAAGCCAGTGCTTTCCCCTTTAAAAAACTGATTATACTGTTCCTAATGTGACAGTTAGACATTATAGCTATATGAAGAGTTCACCCTCTTTAGTGACAAAGCGTAACATTAGTAGCGTTACGTCACCGGTTTATGGTTAATACATGCCAGACACCAGTGCCTCATACTTTATCGAACCATTATTCGCAAAGTGTAGGTTTTTCCGAGTAATTTATCTCGAGGAAACGCATTTATGCCTAGAACTTTATAGTGCTCCGATGAACACTATGCACTCGGGTATTACAAATACTCGACCATCTTCGGTTATGAATATAAGTCCCGATCATTTCGATGGTACTACTAGTGAATGGTCCGATTATATTATTCATTTTGAGCAAGTATCCAACTGGAATAGTTGGGATGATCAACAAAAAGCATGCATGTTAACAATTAATTTGCGGGGGGAAGCACAGCGATTACTGTCTACATTACACCCTTCTCAACTTGCAAGTTATTCGGAAATTAAACGTGTGCTAACGCAAAGATTTAGTCCACATGAACGTGAAGTTGCCTTTCGCTGTGAATTCCGTAATCGGAAGAGAAGCAAGGGTGAATCCGTTTCGGACTATGGTTATGCACTACGCAGATTAGCTCAAAAAGCATTTCCTTTAATGCACAGTGATGCTTTAGAAACATGTATTATTGACCAATATATTCATGGATTGGGTCCTTTTGAATTAAGAAAGCACGTACAATTTACGCATCCTATTACTTTGGATCA